GAGCCTCAGATACTACACATCTTAAAGAAGAAAAGAATCACGCACATAAAAGACAACTCTCAGAAATCAAGGAGTCAATAAATCAAAACTGTTGCTGGGAAAAATGGAATAATTTAAATAAATCCAAACCAGGAGAATCTGAGTAAGAGTCAGATTGGCTTCCTACCAAACTGCCTCACACCTCACCACATTTACACCCTACACATGCTTATAATCCAACATGTCCACCAAAAAAATCAACAGAACAATATTTGAATGCTTTACTACTTTCAAAAAAGCATGTGACTCAATTTGGCACAAAGGATTGTTTTACAAACTCCTAAAAGTGGTGAAGCCTGGGACTGTTGGAGCAGTACTGTCTGACATGGGCATTGACAGCCCATCTGGTCCCAGAACAATGGCTGCAGCAGAGCCTGGCATTGTTGGAGCAGTACTGTCTGACATGGGCACTGACAGCCCATCTGGACCCAGAACAGGGGCTGCAGCAGAGCCTGGCATTGTTGGAGCAGTACTGTCTGACATGGGCACTGACAGCCCATCTGGACCCAGAACAGGGGCTGCAGCAGAGCCTGGCATTGCTGGAGCAGTACTGTCAGACATGGGCACTGACAGCCCATCTGGACCCAGAAATGGGGCTGCAGCAAAGCCTGGCACTGCCGGAGCAGTACTGTGAGACCTGGTGACAGTCGATCTGGACAAGACCAGAGTCGTGGTTTTCCAGAAGAAAGCCAGATCTCAAGGAAACAGGTGCCATTTAACACTGAACAACAACACAATGGAACACACAAAAGACTACACATATCTCCAACGGACAATCAGTTAATCTGGGAGTTTCAACCTTGCAGTGAAGGCACTGAAGGAAAAGGCACACAGGACTTTCTACACTATTAGAAGGAGGTTCTACCACATCAACCCCCCCAAAGAAATTTTGCTGAGAATATTTGAAAGTGTAATCCAACCCCTTACCCTATATGGCAATGAAGAGTGGAATCCAATCACAGACCCATATAACACTAAATGGGACAAACACCCCAGAGAAGCCCTGTGCATAGAGTTCTGTAAACACATGTGCAGAGAACAACTCCAAATTAGCCAAATCTATTCTTAACCAGCATACAAGAGATCATTCACCTGGTTACACCTAAGAAAAAATTACCAGGTTTCTTACCACTACAAGGCGCTGCTGAGCCAAGAGCTGAGCCTGGAGAAGAGCCCCCTCGGCCAGCTGGTCCTGAAGCTCACTGACACCAACCAGCCTCAGGACTGCACAGCTACAACAACAGCCATCAAAATCAACCAAATCACAGTGAGACCAAGCAACACTACCTTGGCCACTGGGACACACACACAAGCACAACACAAACTGGAATGCAGACAAAACACACGACCTGAATATCTAGCCAGGGTAAGAAACAGCAGGGAGAAACAGACCCCGACGAAGTACAGGCTCAGCAACCACAATCTGGCCCTAGAAACTGGGCAGACCTGGCTGCCCAGAGAGGACAGGCTGTGCTCCCACTGCCAGCGGGGAGAAACAGAGACAGAGATGCACTTCCTACTGCACCGTGACGAATATTCTGGGATCAGATAAACATTCTTCCCCAAATTAACAAATCTAATCCCAGAATTCCCACACCTGCCAGAATCAGAACAGCTCCCAATCCTACTGGGAAGTGGGGAGGGAACTCAGTTGAGCTGCAGCCCAGAATGTGATCTGCTACAGCCTGAGAAACAGGGATAATAATGCTCAATGTCTTGTACGTTGTATGTAAATGCCCTATGATGAATTTGTATCATAAATGTATGTAGACATTGTATTGATTGTACAGTACATCCGTTGGTATCACTGTAACTTACTGGTTATGCCAATAAAGCTGCTTGAATTTGAATTTAAATGCAGTCAAGGGATGTTACATTAAAATTGCACAACACACTAGTAAAGCCTCATTTCGAATATTTTGTAGTGTTTATTACCTGCAATTGTAAATCTCATATGGCTTCATTAAAACATATCTCTGGGTGATTTTATGAAGTTTTGCCATTAGTTATTTTGGCCAAAACATGGGGAAAATAATGAAAATGCAGTTTATGGGGCTGCTAAATAACCAGAGATTAGAAATCAGAAGTGTTTCACAAATTCCGAAAGACCAGCTCCTAAGGCTCTTAAAGCAATACCAACATTTTAGCTCCTCCATTTTATACTGGTCTGGTAAACTGGCCAGAAATGCTTTAGGTGTCTTAATATTTTTCTTTTAATCTTCATTATATATTATGATTAGAAAGCATTACTATACTTGATGTTCACATCTAATTTGAGCCCTTGATAATGTACTGTATTACATACATCTCTGTGGCAGGCCTTTATTGCCTATAAAAAGACATTTGCTGAAGACTGAAGACAATATTATGATAACCAAGCAGTAGAATTTTAGCTGCGTCTTGGCATTGATTGATAGTCAAATTGCTTTTGATATTGAACGCATAAGGTGATAATTGAAAAAGTCAAAGTAGATCTGTGTGTAATAAAAAGGAGTCCCCTGGGGCATAATTCTCTGTCAATTTATTTTCTTCGTGTTTGAAAATATCTTATCTTTTTCTGCTGATGATATCATTTTATACTGCCTTTGTAAGGTACAACACAGTAAAATCATTGATTGCAGAATTCTAAAGGCGTCGTTTTTTTAGTTTTCCATGGGTCTAAAGCTTTTACATTCATTGTCTGCGTTTAAGGGGTTATCACAAATTTAACAGTGTTTAATATTTTATTTAAAATAAAACAAAATGGAATATATATGCCATACATAGCACATTTGAACAACTTTGGTGTTAGCCTCTCATGGTGAACGTTTTTAACTCAAGATAAGTTCTTCTAAAGATGACTGTATAAATATAATTACTTTCAAAAAGGAATCACTACACATGGAATATTTGCTATGAATACTGTATCTTTACTGATTAAAATGGCAAAGTATTATCACTGTTCTTAACTGATTAGAATAACACATACAAAATAATTTAATGTTAACTGATAAAATCCTTGTCAGTTAAGAAAAAGTATAGTGCTGTAAAAACATCAAAACTTCAATAGTAAACTTCAAATGATAAAACCTTCTGAGAAATAATAACTCACAATAATAAAGCCTGACTTTTAAAATCAATACCTTTTCACTAATAGCCTGCTCCTTAGGCTGATATTTTAAATAATACAGAATGTACAAAACATGAAAGCACTAGAGCTTGCCAGAGCCCTGAGCTGACTGAAATGGTTTCATCCCTGTCCTGTTTCATGTATAGACATTTCCTACCTGACAACCCATTGGTAGACCAACAGGTGCTACACCTACTGTCCGAACATGAACAGGCTCATTTTAACTTTTTTTATTCTTTTATCCTAGATAACACATATAGATCGTCTAACCCTCTTAATGACTTTAATCTGCTGCACATGCAACCAGTTTAAAAATAGTAAAAGGAGGAAGGTAAATTGATAATTTGCGTAAGACTGTTAAATGTTTTAAGATGCCAAATTAATATTACAAGAAAAACAGAATTATCAAGAGATCTTGATCATGTAACTCAACACAAGATGTTATTGGTACTAAAGCTATCCATGCAGGTGCTGGTTCAGTTTCATGAAAAATTAAAAAGAAGTAATAATTCTGAGTGTAAGGCAGTGTAAAAGTGTACGTTTGTACATGTTTGTGTGAGGATAGACAGTATGTATCATTGGAGACCCTGTCAAGTTAGTCTTTTAAGTCACTCTGAATCACTTGCCATTTGATGATTAAGATCAATTAAGAAAACGTAAAGGTATTCGTGTTTTTGTTCTAAATTATATCTAAATTACTTTAAATGAACACAGCACCTGCTTTAGTGACCATGGACAAATTGCACCAAGTCTTTTGAAATTGATTTAAAGGTTCTAATTTAATGGTTTAATCTATATACACTACTGTAGCGGTATGATTATGGCTCTCCTGGACCAGAGTTGGAGACCCCAGTTCTATATAAGGGAATATTTACAGTATGTACGGTCCATATCTGGAGGGAAAATAATGACATTATTTTAACGGAAATAATGCAATAAATTGAGTCCGTTTTGCCGAACTGAATTAAAAACAAAAAGAATGTGTGTGGAGCAGTGTTGCTTCTGAATTGGTTACAGGTGTGCGACAAATGATTACACGGCACGTTTTCGTAAAATAACGAAACGACGAGTTGCTCTAAACTATTTCTCGATTTTACTGTGTCAAAAAATATATACAGTATATGGACATGTTTACTGTGCGATTTATTGGAGACCTCCGCAGTCTTCCGTGAAAACAGAGTGACCTAGTCTTTTGTTTCTGTACCGCTGGCTGTGCTCTTTTAAACGTTAGTATCGCTCCAGTTCAATGAGAAATATGTTTTGTAGGTTCTGGACTCCTACACCTCCGCTTGCGAACCAATGGGCCCTTTCTGAAAAATATATTAACAACTCAATTATTGTCGTTAAAAGATGCTGAGCGTCTTCAGAAACAGAGGCTTGGATGAAACAGCTAAATGTGAATTTGACACAGTATGGAGTCGACTACAAACACTCTTTAAAATAAAGTACAAGATACAGCAGTACAGTTTATAGCTGCTACGTGATTATTTGTCTGAAAACTTAATTTCAAGTTCATGCCACTAATAAGTGATTCCATTTAGACGATGGAACTTAAAAGTTGGGATACCAGCATATGACCTTGTAGTTAATCAAGAGGATAGCACCCGTGTTACTTGACCATTCGCAGCTTAATTTCAAAACCTAGCTTCAGGTACACAAAATATATCAACAATACTAGTTCACTACAGTAGGTTTTAATTTAGTTATTAATGTAAGGCATTTTAATCTGCAAATCTCGATGATTATTTGGTCATTTGTTATTCGCACAATTTCTCCATTTCATTTTAAAAATTAAAGCGAACATTTGCAGCAAGAAAATCCAGGTCTCATTGTCTATCTTTGTCCTTCCTAGGTGTTTCCTGTTCCAGAGACTTTAAAAAGAAGACGACACAAAGTTCTGGGGAACATTCCTGTAGCCGTTTTAACTGCTTTTGTCTACTAAGAAACCTCTCTTGGAAAAAATGAAAGCGGAAGGGGATCCTTTAAAAAACGTGGACCTAAGTTTCTTGTCTGCCGAGGAGGAATTTGCAATTCTCCGAGTTTTAAAACGAGATGCAAGACTTAGAAGACTGGAAGACAGACGTGTCAGGTAGTATTTTGTTTGTTCATGGTTATTTTGCATGGAGTTAAGAGAAGCTGCAATTTCCCGCCGATTCTTTATCAAGCCCATGTAAAATATCTCATTAGTTAAATTACTATTTCCTAATGGCAAGCAGTAATAGGCTTCATAGGCCGAGACTACGTTTTGAGATAATTTGAAACATCTTGAGTCACATTGGGGTTCTGCTTTTTATTAAAAAAAATCTAAGAATGAAGTCTGAGGGGCGTACAGTAGCTTAATTTCTTTTGGATTGTTGTGTGTTTTTGGACAATATTTTTTTTTCTCTCTCCTTAGTTTAGGGCGTGTTGTTACTGTACATTGTGGCATTAATTCTGTATCAACTGGGCGTACTATTAGCCGTTTTGTAAAGCGTTTGTTACTGGGCTGATGCACTGAGTCAGTTACAAAAGTGAATTTGCCCTCTCATGAACTCTAGGCCATGTAGAGCTGCTGGCCAGAGGCCTGGCCAGGCTTGACGTTTTGGCTTGGAGGCATTTCCCACTGTCCAGGGAGTGGGATCGAATTCCAGCAGGGGCAGTGGGAGCAAGAGGGTGGTTAGTTAAGGGTCCAAAGACAAAGAACAAGGACTGGTGACCACGTGCATCCAGTTGTCATACAGTAGGTATTCCTATAACTGCGCCTGATTGTAGGTCTGGGATTAGCTGCCCAGTAGCCCTTAACAAACACATTTCCCAAGAAAGTGTAGGTTTAATATTGGTCATCTGGAATGGAGTAAATGGAATAAATTCACTTTGACGTCTGTAAATCTTAGAATACGGTTGCAAAGTGGTAGAGGCTATACACAAAATGCATTAATGCACTCACATATTTGCAGATTAATAACTACAGGAATTAGCATTTAAGTGCCCAATATAAAATTTATTATTAGTTTATTAAATACAGTGGGTATCTTACCATTACAGCTCCATTGTAAATCGCATTCAAGCTCAATGCTCCAGTCGTCATACACAGATCTCGAACATACTCATTAAGATAAGATCACTTTATTAGCCATATGCAGTTTCTTGCATTAGAAATTCATGTTTTTTGCAAACCCATGCTTGCTCAACATGAGACACACAGGGAGAGTGCAGGGTCAGCCATTTATACGGTGCCCCTGTAGCAGCTGGGGTTAAGGGCCTTGCTAAGGATCCCAACAGAGAAGGATTTCTCTGCTGGCTGTGGGATTTGAACTGACAACCTTCCTGCCACAGGCACAGATCCTTAGACAGAGCCACCGGTCCACCCCCGATTAAATATCTTCTCAGCTTTTGAAGTACAGAAGAGGGACAGCTTCTATTTATCAGATGCTACTATCAAAACAAGTCCACATTAATAAAGCAATGCATGTCTTATGGAGAAGGATTTGAACTGCTTTTGGAGTAATAAATAATGTTCTCTTGGAATGGAGATGTGAAAATGACTCTATGTGGTAATTATTTAATCATCTCTGAAATTCCATTGACCCCGGTCTCTTTTCTTCAGTATGATAGTACAGTTTGTGTTTATGCAAGATGCAGCAGGGTGACATGGTAGCAGCACTATGTACAGTACCTCCGAAAGCAGAGGGAACAGTTTACTCCAGCTTAACTTTCTCCCCTGGGGATGAATAAAGCATATTGAATTGAATATAGTTCCAGAGTGGGGCAGGTTCTGTGTGGAGAGTATACAGTATGTTCATCCTGTAGTTGTATGGATTTTTGCTATAGATTTTCCCTGGTATCTTGGTATCTGAATTGTCCAGCTATGTGCGTGTGATAGACTGGTATTATGTCTAGAGTAAGGTCCTGCATTGCAAAGCATGTGTTTGAAATTATTTCAATTGATTTAAAGCTGCAGAGGTTTTCCTACACTTCAGTTTTTAAAGTACTGCTGTTGCTGGCCAGTAGATTCTGTACCAGTGGTTTTGAGGACTGCGTTGAATGCTAATTTCAGACTCCCTAATGTTGTTTCATGTGTCAGTCTCAAGACTGTAAGCCAGTGTTGGGCTCTGAAAACAGCCATTGGGGTTAAGACTTTAGATTTAAAAATATTAATTAACCTAGACAAAGGTACTAAATTAATGTTAAAAAGCATTCCTGTGATTACAGTCAGTTAAGTCATGTCTGAATGTTGCAGTGTTTGACATGGAGATTTCTGTGTCCTTTGAGGACTGGTAGTCGCTGTCTGCCATGAGCTGACAAATCCATTTCAGTGTGAAGTGTCTTACCAGTAGAATAGCTTGTTCGTTTGGTAAAATGTCGGCCCTCTTCAGTCTAAAATGGTTTATTTGATATCCATGCCCATTTCAATGGATGGCTCCATTTCATACAGTAAATGTAACCTTTTTTCCTGATCTATCCCTTTTTTTCCTAAAGCAGCACTGACTGGTTTCCAGTGTTCAAAAGCACCTGTATTCTGCATTCATTTTTTAAGACCTTTTTTGTGTGGAGGGTTTTGGGATTTTTAGCAACTGTACATGCAGGATTTAGACATCTGGAGTTTGATGAGCTTGTTGAGGGGTTGTATCAGTCTGGTCTGCAGGTGCGGCATTCCCTCCTGTTGGCTTCTCTCCAGGAGGATTTCTCACTTCCCTGCTGTGTGTGTGCAAGGGGCTGTACTTCGCAGGCAAGTGTACCCACATCATGTAAGGCACTAATTGACTGAAGACTTGTCTAGGTGAGATTGTCCATTGTGATAGTCACTTTAACACACTACAGGTCTTCTGAGGACATTAACTCAGTTCTTAAGATGTTGCCATTTCTGAGTTTTAAGATGTCCGTGGAACATGCATGCTTATTGCAAGTAGTGAACTAAGAGGAAAAATTGCTGTGATCTAAATGTAAACCCAGATTATCTCAGTACTTTACCGGCCTTATAGTCTTCGACTAGACTGTAGTGCTGAACTAGTACTGTGGTCATCCTTTTTGATTTGTAATTAATTACTTTAATCTGCAAGAGCTTTTTATTTGACAGATCTTCTCTGGGGAAATCCTTTCTGTATGAAGCCAAAACGGCAATTGATTTCTCTCGCTCCCCTTTTTATTAATTTTCTGGGTGGCAATGGATATCTGTTGTCTGTGTTTTAGTACTTGGGTGTTTTAATCTAAAGAGATGACTTCCATCCATCTTTCAGCAATTTGGTTATTTATAGTAACTAAGTAGAATCCTGCCTAGTATGAATGAGAGCTTCACAATTGTACAGTATATTACTGTGTGTATACTGTACATATGTAAACATCTGGAGTATAATGTTTTTATTTAACAAAGGTCACAGAATGGTGTTTTCTGTTACTACTATTTTCTATAATTTTAAATTTGCAGAAGGACATCACTGTCTAAGAGTAGGAAGAAACCTAAGATGGATTTGGGTCTATATTTCTAAGGACCTTTGTAACCCATCTTATTAACTGCCACAGTTGCAGCTGAGACCCCTGTGAATTTGACCCCGTGTCTGAAATTCCCATTGTATGTAGTTAACCTGCACCTTGAAATGAAGTTGACTTCTGTTGAAGTAAAAGGCTTGGTTTGAATGGTGTGTCTTGTACCTGTTTTTGTTATCCAGTCAAAGCATGAAGTGTTTGGAAGAAACTATTACTGAAAAGAAAGAACTGTGTTAGCAGACTTATTTGGTATAGTTCTTTATTTTACTTTTGTGCTTAATTACCTTGTCTCTTCATGATGCATCTTCAAATACCAAGAGAAGATCTGCTACCACTCTGTGAATTAGTACCATTTAATAGATCAGGTAATCCCCATCAGCAGTGCTTGGGAGGAGGCATGACGGCTTTTTCAGAGCTCGATGGTTTTTGTATGGACAGTACTGTCACTGAATGGTCTTTCTTGCATGCAGTGTAAACTAGAGTGTGATGGTACAAATATTGTGCTGCAGGTGCAAATTCCCCTATTACTAAACCAGTCAGAGTTAAAAAAGGAGCATTAGAGAATGGCTGAAGTCCAAGAAGAGTTTATGAGCGGATGAAATCTGCCAAGTTTCAGATTGATCGGTGGAGTGCTTCATGCGATTTTGAAAGGGGTCGGGCTCTTGTCTTGGTAGATACAGGACTAAATTGCTGTAGCCAATCACTAATTGGAAGCCTAAAAATGAAGCTTGAAGTTATTAGTTTCTTTTAAATGTGAATGCTGTTGCATTGGACTCAGAATTGAGTTTTGGATGCATTTTGGCTTTCCACATTACGTAAGGTGATTTGGACACAACTTCAAAAGTAAATGCATGCCTTTTTTGTCAATGGACTGGGTTTTGAGAGAACTGTAAGAAGGCTCATTCCTGCAGCCACAAATTGCTTAGGTCTGCTTGATTCTTGTTGGTGCTAACAGGTATGAAACTCGGGAAAGGTCTGTACTGATATTTGAGTGTTTGAGCTGGTTGTCCCTTGAGCCGTTTTCAGCAAAAGGCTAATATAGTTTTTTGTCTCCAGGCTAGTTTTGCCCCTGATGCACTTGGGAGATTCATTACATCAAAGAGCAGACACACGGATGATAATATGGGCTGTATACACAGTGCCTGTCAGTATTCAGAACCTTGCACAGTTTTCACCTTTTTTATTTTACTGTACTTTACAACTTGTAGTCATGGCCTTTTGTGAAAGAAATGGAAAATGCATTGCTGACTAAATATTCAAATGCTTTGCTGAGGCTAACCTAAATTAATTTGGGTACATAAATTTCATTTTATGAGGACCACAATTTCAGAAAAATCTCTCTCTCTCTCAGTGAATTTAAAGCAAACGGGAGCTTTTAAAACAACAGAGGGATAAAGTTGTATAAAAGCACAGATCAGCAGAAGGGTATTAAAACATGTCCAAGACCCTTAATGAACATGAGTAAGTGAAGGGCAGGCAGCCACTACCTAGATCAGGCTGCCCCTCCGTCCTGAGCAGCTAGTTGAGGCAGACTGTGAACAGGTCCTCCTTGCCGTCAAGTCCCACATGGAGTCTGTGACGAGGCTTTTAAATGATACTGTTAACAGGCGGCAAAAATATTAAGTT